CTGGCTGCAGTTCAACCTGAAGCTCTCTCTGAAATCTGGATCTTTCAAGCTTTTAAGGATGAAGCTTTGAGACGCTTGATGTTTTCTGTTCCTTTGACACAGCAGCAGGAGGCTCCAGATGTAGAACGTCACATTCAGGATGACGGCTTTTACTGCTTTAAGCCGACTGGTTGAAACTTGTAAATAAACAAGGACACGCGGAGCGCTGAGGACTTCAGACAGTGTGTGTGTTAAAGTTCTGCTCCTGAAACCTTCCTGACTTGGTCCTCTCTGCTTTCTTTCAGGCCAAACGTTTGTGCCATGCAGCAGATTAAAGGCACTGACAAGAAATACTTCACCAACTGCAAACAGTGGTACCATCGCAAGATCTGCAGCCAGCCCACGTGAGTCAAACCAGCTGTGTGCACGTCAGGGTTCAGGATGTCACCTGCAAAACCGCCTGACAAACTTCTCTAGTTCCTGCAACGTGTTCTGTGCTGCTGCTGTAGATTCTGAAGCTGTGTTTGTTTCTGGATTTCTACTCGACTCTTTCAGTTTGACTTTGGAGGAATGTCCCTCTCCAGAGGTGTCCTCACTTCTTATGTAATCTCAGAGTGTCAGTTTACGTCTGAGTCCCCAGTCGAGCTGCAGGGTTCATTTAAAGGACACGTGCAAAGTTTTCGTTGGACTTGTCTCCTGTTTTATTTCTACTGAGGCTGCTCAGTGTCACTTCACAGGCACAGTTCAGAAATGAGTCGCTGCAAAGTCTCACATTCTGTTCAGGGTTTGCTTTTTGATTTTGGAATTGGAAACCCAGATATGTAAAATATGTTGACTGAATCTAGAGAACTTCATGTTTTTACACCTGGAAGATGTATTTTCACTTGAGAAGGCATTTTATGGGTTCAGTATCTACAAAGTTTCTGTAAGTGTATATATATACATATGTGTGTGTGTGTGTGTAGGTGTGTGTGTGTGTGTGTGTGTGATATATACGCAGTCGTCCTCAGATGTATTCATAGCCTCCCATTAAAGAAGAAAAACAGCAGCTGTCACTGAAACAAGTGGAAATTGAGAAAAGTAATAATAAATAAAAACTGAATGAAAGTCATGACGTTGCTTTGAATTGTGGTTCAACAGAAATATGTATAAAAATAAAAAACAAGCCTGATGGGACCCGTACACTAATATTCTGTTGAACAACCCTTTGAGCCAATCACTGTAACCAGGTGTGTTCTGTAACTCTCACCTGTTGACTGCTCATCAGCAAAGTGCTCTCATTTCTCTGGGACAGTATTTTATTTTATTTTTTAAAAATTATTCTTTTCAACCACAAATCAAAATCAGTGTCTTATATCATTGAATTATAATTTAGCAATTTTTTGTTTATTATTACTTTTTTCAGTTTCTAGTTATTTGAGTGACTGTTGTGGATTTTGCCTTTTCTTTAATCAAAGGGGATGAATAGATCTGTGTATATATAGTGCTGGTCAGGACCAGCAAGGCCTTCTCTGCTGGCCTAAACTCCTCAGAACCACTGACTTACGCTGTAAAATGTTCCCATTCCTCTTTTTGTTTTATTCCCATCAGTCTGTTCTCTTCATTCATCGTGTCTCTGGACTGTGCTGCTTCCAGCAGCATCTATTTATGCCAGAGCTCTTATCCAATCAGATTTTAGCTGTCATGTGTTGCCGGGGTCACAGAAATCTGCCCTGAGGCCTTCAGGATCAACAGTGCAGGCGTCTTTAGCTTAAAATGAAACTGTTGCTTTAACCAATCAGATTGAGAGTTGGTGGTCTGTATGCTGTGAATCTTAAGATAAATCTGAACCTGAACCCTAACATGAACCTGAACCTTAATATGAACCTCTACCTCAAGCTGACCCTGAACTTAAACCCTGGATTGAACATGAACCTGAATCTGAACTGACACAGACTCTTAATATGAATGTTATCCTGAACCTGAACTAAAACCTGAATCCAAATCTGAAATCTAACTTGAATCTGAATTTGAATATGAACCCGACCCAGAGCCTGAATCTTAATATGAAATCTGAACCTGAACCTGTGCCTGAGCTTGAACATTAGTCTGAAACTGAACTTGAACCTGGACCTGAATCTGAGCCAATGTGCCTCTTGGTCATCCCCCTCCAGGTCCAAACACAATGCTGTCAGTACTATGGCTTCAGTGCTGCTCGGCTCTGCTTCCAGCCTGCAGCATGAGTCGTGCAGAGCAGCTGCTTCATGAACACTGTGAGTTTTCTCAGCCTCTTCGGCAGCAAACCGCTGCTCTCACAAACCTAATAATCAGCAGAAATCCTCCGGTCGGCTTCAGGGCTGCATTCGGTTTGTCTGAGCTGATGGCTGGAAACAGGATTTCTGGCCGTTTGAAACGAGCAGCAGAGGAAACGTGCTGCTAAATCCCCAAATCCTCCCAAAGTCTTTAGATCAGCACATTCTTGAGCTGCACACAGCTGGCTGCAGGACGTCCCCGCAGAGCTGTGAACATGACGGATGGAGATTTAAGGGACACACGGCTTGTTTTTCATTCAGAAGCTGCAGAGGAGAAAGCGCTAAGCGGCTCAGTATGTCTCTAGACTTCAGACTCTGTAGCATGTTTGTGTATGTGCCCCGTGGATCAGCTCCCTCCAGCTCCAAACATCCGGAGGATTTCCGCTGATCATGAGGTGAAAGATGGCTCACCAGGCTGCATTTCTTCTATTGATCCACCATGATACGTGTTCCTCCGAGCAGGCATGTCGTGTGTCTTGGTTTCTGGTCTTTTGTCGTACTTTTCTGTGTTGTGACTCTTTGCGGTGATCATTTTAACAGACATGTAGAATAAACTGATTTTGATCAAATCCAATGATCTTAAGCTCAGAGCTGAATAACTGTCCAGTGGAGGACCATCTGACGTTTAAGATCTGCTTGGTTCTTTCTGTTTTTACAGCGTGCGGAGGATAAATGAGTGGTTTTAAAGCTGCTGGAGCGTTTTGGGGTTAAAACGTGCTGCTGGGTGTGAGTGCACTGACTGAACTAAAGGCTCTGTGACACTTTTATTGCTGGTGGAACAAACCTTCGGCTCAGAGTTGGATTTAACCGTATCATGTGACTGCCGGAGCTCCCGCAGAGCCTCAGAGTTTCTGTCGTGGATCAGTTAACCGAACGAACTGACCGTTGGTTCAGTTTCCATGGAAACAGCTGCCTCAGCATTTCAAATGACAGCATGATTCATCTGTTCCTCATTTTCTACGTTTCCTCTCCGTTGCCTTAAACATTCTATCATCTGCTTTTAGTTTCTGTCCTCTCATTCCCTCTTCCTTTTCTGCTTCGCCCTCCAGTCTCATCGTATTTAGTCACAGTTTGAAGCAGGAAAACTTTATGAAAATTAATAAACAAATAAAAAAAAAACCTTCCACAATCCTGCTCTCTTCAGGGGCTTGTTGGCTTTTCCTGAAAGAGTTATTGATCTTCATGGAGACAGGGCATGGAAACACCTTTTCTGAATAAAGTGGTGAACACTGAAGTCACATGACTAATCAGCTGTCTGTGACATCATCAAACATGGCCGACAGCAGCTGAAAGACTGACTGGAAGCTATTCCTGAACACCTCGCCAAGTTTGTTTCTTGTTGTTTGAGTTTTTACGAGTTGGGAAACAGCTGGTTTTGTTACCTTCTTCTCTTCTACTCTGTTTATTCCACCTAATGTAGCCTACAGCGCCACCTTCTGACTGCAACACCAGTTTACTCTCTTCAAGGCTGTGAAACTCAGAATAATTCACATTTTTATTAATATTATTTGTGACAGTTAAGAAATTCACTTCAGATACACTTCCCAGTGACAATGTCTTATTGTGGTGGTCTTTGTGTCCCTGTGGGTCTCTGCTGGCCTCTCTGGACGTGGACATTCCAGTCTTGGTGTCTCTGTGGACCAGGCTGAGGAGGTTGGAGGTCGGCAGAAGGAGGACTCATCTGTGTTCCTCCTCCAGTCAG